CATGCTTGCTCGCAGCACAATGCGAGGCAAATGGGCACGAAGACTGCGGGAATCAAGTTTGGCTCCGTTGTTTGGGTGAAGTCCAAGAAGGACCGAGGGCCGTTTGACCCGAGGTGGGAACGAGGCAGGTATATGGGGCCAGCCGACGATGTACGTGAAGGACATGTGGTTCGATTGGATGATGGTCTATGGCTTCGCACTTTGCATATGAGGACGGTGAGGGACGACGAAATGGAAATGGAGGAGGAAGAGCACGTCGTGGACCTCATTGAGCCTACAAGGCGTATGCGGGGAAAGACCAAGTTGAGTGATCCTGAGTTGCGGGCCATTCGCAAACAAGAGAGGGCCGTCTTGGTGAAGGAGTTGCTGGAGTCCAAAATTTGGGATTCACCTCAGGCCAGAGTGGAGCGACCCCAGATGAAAGAAGGCGAAGTCTGGGATGGTGCTGCATACATAAACCTGGGGGCATATCAGCATGGAGGAATCACCAGCATCACCAAGGGGACCGAGAAGTTCAACAAGGAGGCTGTCTTGGCTGCTAAGCTCCTGGCACTGGACCACCCGGGGTCGTCGTTTACGTCAATGGCCCTGGTGAAGAATGCGGTCATGCCCATACACCGCGATTCCTTCAACCACAAGAAGGCGATGAACCTGATCTCACCTCTCAGGGTCGCTAAAGGAAGCTGTGTTTGGCAAGAGCTAAAGCAGGGGGATGAGTTCAAGGGAAACTACTGTTCGATGTGGGTGAACGAAAGGGAAGTGCCAGGCCAGAAGATGAGCGTGGAGTTTCCAAACAAGGTTCGTCCCGATCGCCTACATGCACCACTTCGAGGAGATGATGGAGATCGGATTGTGGTGATAGGATACACGGTGAGCAAGTGGGAGAAATTGCGTCAGTGTCAGTGTGACGATTTAGAGGAGCTGGGTTTTGTCCTACCGGAACGTGAACCAGTGGTGAAGATGATGAATGCCGATGGGAGGAGGAGGCCACCTACGCCACCAATTCCGGAGGAGAACTCAGGAGC